AAATATAATAATAATAAATAAACATGGTCAACTTTTTTATAAAGCCAAAGTAAAGGGCAACTAATATCCCAGGGCAGAATGTATAAAAATAATTATGAAACGCTATAAAATGCATATAAGAAATGTAAGGAACCTCCTGCTTTGTGGTAGCATAGAGGAAAGTCAGAAACAGTACACAAAATGTTAAACTTATGAGAGTGCAAAATTTCTGAAATCTCAATTTTTAAGGGTATCATGAGTTAGAATCTGTAAAAAGTGTTTCTGCTTTTTAAAATAGGATATCTATTACTGAAGGTAGATAGTAGTATTGGGAAATACCACTCATCTGTGGTGTTTCTAGCATTATGTCTTTTAGCAGCATTCTCTTGGCTGTCTTTATAATTAGTCCTCAGACCAGCATGTTGCTCGATTTTCTTTAGATGCCTATTCTGAGGAAAGTGCAATGGTGATTTCATTTATGTAGGTCACATGTTGTTGTGATTTCCCAGCCATTTTTTATTTGAAACCAAAAATTTCTTGTAATGAGAAAAATGGTTCAACCTGCCGGGGTAGTTTTCTGGGACAGTCACGGCTGACAGCGTTCAGTGTGTTTGATACTGTCTTCAGGTATTATACTTTTGCACAGATTTACTAATCAAAAACATGAGAAAAAAAAATTTTTTTTCTGTGCTTAATAAGGTCTTCATAATATGTTCAACTGAAATATGAAAGATTGTCTGGAATGAGTCACTCTTAATATGGGACACAATCAGTTCCAAATTCATCCACAATTAGTTTGCCATAGGATATCAATGCAAAATAGGTTATGTTTCTACAGAAAACATTTTACAACAGCTCTGTTAATGTAGTTAGTGAACATCCTCTGATGGGAAATAATTTTTTCTGTTAAAATATGCCTTTGCTAACTTTAAACTTGCATTTGGGTACTTTTTTATTATGCTGTTTTTCACATTTCTTAAAGATTTCATCGGGTTTGTCTTCAACAGCAGTTTTTCTTCCTTTATGGTCACTCATCTTCATTTTTGTTTTCCAATCAAAAAGCACCAAGTATTATTTTTACTTTCCTCAAGTTTCACAGCTCTGGTGTTAAGACAGTCCTACAAGTTACTTAAAGAGTAGCATCCTTTTGAGATTACTGTCAGACTTGAATAAAACAAGTGGCAGAGTATTTTCCTAGTCATTTTAATTAGACATACTCCTTTTACATATACTTCCACTGCCCTTTTCAATGCCTAGTCTCACTCTATACCTCCTTGCCAGTTGCTCTAGATATGATTTGGTTCACAAGTAAGTTAATTGTTGAAAAACTAAATATCACATAGCTTTATTGTATTAGCTTAAAACAATATTTTTACTCAATGAATCCTTCTTCAAAAGCAAAAAACATATCTCTAATTCTTGAAGTTTGAGGATCTTTGCCTTATAGCTACAATTGCCCCTGGAAACAATATAAATCATAAATCATCATCTGCCACAAGCTGAAGGAGGCAGGTTTGCATCTGTCCATTGGTCTCCCAGCACGCAGAAATGTTGTGACCTGCCATGTTTTTCTCTGGAGTGAAAAATTCACTCTTGTTTTGCTCACAGTTGTGTCTTCTTTGACCTCTCGTAAAGGTATGTGTGCAGGCACTTGTAGGAGACAGTTATTTCCTGACCCGGATGATCTGATGTCAGACAAAATTAGGAAAGATTATGGCCTTGGTGGGATAGGAATCAGTGTCTGTTGTCTCACTAATTACATTTGCTTCACATGTAGACTGGAGTCCGAGTTATTTCTGATGAAGCAGTAAAGAGTCCCAGGCCTCAGGCACTATGACATTGGCAGTGTATTGACTGTGAGACAGGATTTAGTTTCCATGGGAACCCTGTTGGTGAAGGAGAATGCACTGGGAGTGTGATGGTCACTGTATTTCATGCTGTAGGTCCTTCAGGACAGCTTTGGCATCGAGTGCTTTAGAGTTCTGGTGACTGGATGCAGGGCTGTGCAGTACCTGACCCCACGTGAGTGGGCTTGTGTGGTCCCAGACTGCCCTGGCAGATGCATTTGGAAAGTCAGCTGACTTTAGGTGCTGGAAACCCAGGGAGGTACACACCACTGACTAACTTGGGTAACAGAGGCACTGAGCTGAGAAAACCCACTGCACAAGGGTGACCAGTGTTTCTGAGCATGCCAGCCACATAACAGCCTCTCTTTCTATTCGCCCAGATCCCAGCACCCGCAGCGCCCGTCCCACCACCCAGCAGGCTGCAGGGTGCCAGTGGCAGCACTTGTAAGCAAATGCCACTCCAGCGCCAGGTTGCACCAGCCAGCCCTCTCTGCTGGGTTCACTGGAAACCGGGACCGTTGGCTCAGCCACCCCCCAGCCAGGGTACCACTGACAGGCGCCCTGCCCACTGCACGACCACAGTGCTGGAACCAGCCCATGCAGCTTCTGGGCTGCACGGTTCTTCAGAGCTACAGCTTGCCACCCTCACATGACGCACCCTTTGCATTCTCTGCAAAACTAAAGGCAAAGAAAAAACATGTTAAGTTCCTAATGGCAGTGCCCAAAGGTACTATATCTGAAGATAACATCAATAGAGAGAGCCAGCACAAGTTCTCTTCACACAAACTATTTCCCAGAGGCTAATGGCAATGAGGAGAGAGAGAGAGAAAAACAAGTACTGACAGTTTACTGTAGGAGCTCAAAGAAAAAGTGGACAAAGCTAAAAGAACTCCAGCTCTTTGTTCGCATTTAATCCCGTTCAGAGCATTCACTGGTGCATACAGATTTACTTTCCATGGCTGACGGAGCTGGATCTGGTCATTTGGTAAGAAACAGAGGATCTAGGATTTAAGTTTTGTGCCCTTCAGGCCCTTACATTTATAGGAAAAGTCAGTCTATAACATACATTAAAAGTTTTAATTGAATGTAAAAAGTATGAGCTGCTGGCTAATACCTCCAAAGAAACAAATCCTGATCTTGAAAGGTGAAGAAGGTTTTCTGTTTTTAACACAGACCAAGTTTTTAAGAGGTAGAACACTTTGCTCACAGAAACCAAGGGAAAGACTGGGGCCTCCTGTCCCTACCCAAAGAATCCCTTATTTTATTTTCTTCCTTCTCTTTTCAACTCTTGTCTTGAATTTATAAAGGCGCTGATTTATCAGAGGCTACTAGAATAATGTAACAGTGTTAAAATAGCACTGTCCACATATTTTAATGCAAAACAAATAGTCCAAGCACCTGATATCCCAGTACAATAAAACTATCAAATCACCATTGCAGGCTTTTGCTTTTGCTGAGGATAGACAGTTCAAGTTACATGTAGCCCATTTTCTAAAGGCTATAGAGTCAATTCATCTCTGGCTGAATTTGTAAAACACCACATTGAAAGACAGCACCAGCAAGGAGGATATATATACAAGAACAGAACCAACAAAAGAGTTTGTGAGTGAAAGGTAGAGAGGCTGGGTTAGAAAAGTCAGAACTGGAAGGGAAAGGTCAATCTCAGAGTACAGTGGACCCAAATTAGGTAGATGTGTTGGAGTGATTTTAGCACAGCGTATTGGAAATGCACCCCCATCGGGTATGTGGAGAAAAGGGAGGGTTAGCCGGTAAACCTTCAGAATTGTTATCTACAGAAAAAAACCCAAAACAGTAAAGGTGGCACAGCGTCAAAAAAAGAAACTCTTTCTCATCCCTCTGCCCCATCCTGTCCCCCTCCAGGCATTTTTGGTTGTCTAAGAAGCACCCCTAGTATTTGGGCTCAACTAACGTTGCTCAGACTTCTCATGTTCAGACAAAACCAGACCTTTTTATCCTCACTGCTCATGCCCAGCCTTAGCTGAGACCAGAAAAGCAGAAGCTTGTTCTGGTTGGCATGGTGTCACCCAGAGCGGGAGACCAACACGTGACACGAGGCCGTCCAGTTGCTGAACTGCTCCAGCCGCTTGCTCAGCTCTTTCCAGTGGAGCTACTCATTCTCTCAGAGATTGCTGGCTGTAAATGGGATGCTAATGAAATAAACAAAAAGGCAATTTAGGCTATTTAAATACACTTCAGGAAAAAAGCTCAACCTAGATAGATGACACATGATGCGTTTTGTATTAATGTTCCAAGTCCATTTGGTGGGCCTCGTGGCAGGCAAGTTAGAAATATTTTGTTGCAAGTTTGAACACCATACCAGGATATAAGGCTAGTCACTTGAACAAGAGCAGTGATTGAGTTAGGGTTGAGAAATGTATCCCTGGCTAGTTTCAAAATTAAAAAAAGAGAGATTTTAAAAAGGTACAAATAAGACTAAAAGAATTTATGTTATTTTTCCGGTTTCTCTGCTATAACTCCTTTTCCATCTCCTCATCTGTCTTCTAAGTGTACTACATTATGAATGAGTGAGCAATAAAAGAAGTATGCAGTGGCTGAGAAACTCAAGATAACAAGATAATGCAAAATGTAAGCCAAAACTTGAGCAGAACTACAAGTTAAGATGTAGATCTGAATATAAAAGTTTCTCGCATCTGAGTTTTAGGGCAGTCATTAGATAGTTTGCATGAAAAGCTAATTTAAAAACAGTAGCACAAAATGTGACCTAATATATGCTAAGTTCACATCTGTCAAAATCTTGGACCTGTACTTTCTACGGGTTTTAAGCCTGTCTTCGGACAACATGTGCTGACACTTCACTCGCAGTCTAAAACAAAAATAAAACTATTTTAATGCCTATGAAATCCCTATCTTTGTTGAGAAGGGGCAGAGGAAGAACAATGAGTAAAGAAGCAGCTACAAACTATCATACAGTTAGGCAATAGCAATTACTGTGCCTAGGTGACATGGGAACAGCCTCAAGACCAAAAGGTGTTACAGTAATAAGCTACTACATGCAGTCTTGAAATTACTTGTTTTAAGGCTGCCAAGAGCAGGATGGAGCTATGTTCACCAGTGTTTGTGCACTACTTATGATCTGCTGGCTGCACAACTTAAGATGTGCTCTTTCTCCTTGCCAACCCCGTTTATGCTCAGATTTTAGACTTGAAGTCCCAGCACACATTAGACATCTCGCCTTTGAGCTGGACTTGGCTCCTTCACTGCAGGCTGCCATTTCCAGCAGCAGCCAGTGATGGCATCTGGATGGTAAGTGTTCCAATTCTCCAAAACCGAAGGGGATGGGTTACAACAAAGAGTTAATTAAAATTTCTGTGTTGCTGACCTCCTTCCAGCCTTCGAGGCTGCCCAGGTTTGGAGCTTCACAGATCAGCTGGGGTTTCTCAGAGGAAAAATTATGTGGCCACTCCCTGAACCCAGATAATCCCTCTGGCTGGGCTTTTCACTGCTGGTATCTGCCAGGTTAAGGCAGAATTCAATCATCAAAATTATTATGGTCTCTTTCAAGAAAAGAGCAGTGGGAAATTAATTGCTTTAAATGAGGTATGTTTTCTAACATTAAAGCAATGTAGTTGCTAAGTTATAGGGCTTGGGACAGACAGCAAGGACTAAGCTGGTCTCCAGTTTTACTTGGCAAAGACTCTGTTGGTATACAAACAGCAGGAGGGAGAAGATACAAGGATAAACTTTCATGGGATGTGAAAGTTGAAGGGAAGATAAAACTTCTTATTTTCAAATGGAAAGTAGTGATAACTCAGGCATAAGCATGAGAGACCCCTGCAAAGAAGAGAACATGAGACAGAGTGGAGCAAGCCATGATGTTGAGGTGTTTGAGACACTTTTACAGTATTAAGGAGGTAGATCTTTTTTAACAAGAATTGATGACAAAACATGAAAACAGTTTCTCATCTTTACTCTTACCCTTTATGACAGACCTAATTTTCTTGAAAAGCAGCTGGGGCATTCTGTATGCTCCAGTATCCATTTGTGAGGAGGCAAAATACTTCAAACGTGCTGGAAAGTGAAGAGAACTTGACTATGTTGTATTAAAATAATACTTAGATTTCCAAATTGGAGCATTAACTTGCAACATTTAGAACAGAAGATGCCTATATGAATAAATGATCATCTGATCTACATTGATGATTAATGTGAGACCAAGAGGAGGATAAGCATTGATAGAGTTTATCTGCTTCTTCATATCCTGCACCAGCTTGTGTAATTTTCAGGTGCAAGAACAGAAATGTAGTTTATTTTTTAACCTCTGTTTACAAAAATCAAGTTCTAGTACCTCTTGTTGAACTTTGAAAACATTCTGCATGTGGCATTTCATGTAAAGCTGTGATTTTCTGCCAGTTCCTAATTTCACTGCCATGTGCCCAAAATTGCAACAACAGACAAATCTGCAGCACTGTTCAATCATATTGCAAATGAAAATGAAGAAAAGCTGTGGTTAAGGGGGGCCTCATTTTACCTTTGGTCTGTGGACTGTGAAATTGGGCAAAGTTATCTTCCCTGCTTAACTTGAAATGCAAATGGGAAATCAGCTTTGCAGGTAGAACTCAGTTGACACTGATGAGCATTTGCTACCTGGGACAACAGTGCCACCAGGCAAGCAAAGCCCACAGCTTTGGTGGGAACATGACCTGTGTCTGGTGACAACTCATGCTGGAGAGCAAACCCATCCATGACTGTCATTCAATGTGCATCAGGTAACCCTGTTCTTTTGAAGAGACTCTGGCTTGTATTAATGAATCATTCTTTGTTCTTCCAAATACAGATTCTGGAAGAAAACATGAAGTTAGAGTGCAAGTGCCATGGGGTCTCAGGATCCTGTACCACTAAAACATGCTGGACAACTCTGCCTAAATTCCGGGAGCTGGGCTACATCCTTAAGGACAAATACAATGAAGCTGTTCAAGTTGAACCAGTGAGAGCAAGTCGTAACAAGCGTCCAACCTTCCTCAAAATAAAGAAGCCACTTTCCTATCGCAAACCCATGGATACAGATTTAGTGTACATAGAAAAATCTCCCAATTATTGTGAAGAAGACCCTGTCACTGGCAGTGTGGGAACACAGGGAAGGATGTGTAACAAGACAGCCCAGCAGTCCAATGGCTGCGATCTGATGTGCTGTGGCCGAGGTTACAATACACACCAGTACTCAAGAGTGTGGCAGTGCAACTGCAAATTTCATTGGTGCTGCTATGTTAAATGCAACACATGCAGTGAAAGAACAGAAGTATATACCTGTAAGTGAGTACATGGCTGGGCAGGTTGACATGTCCCTGGCCATGAATACATTTGCACATGCACTCAACGTACCTACTGTAGGAAAGACCTGCTCTCCCTGAAGAAATGCTGATGAATGGAGCCCTCTCTTCTCATATTTCATTGCTTATGTGGATACACATTTCAGACTCTTACAAAAGTCAGTCAAGAAACAAAACCAAACAAACCCCACCCTGAGCCACCTGACACACAAAACAGAGAGAAAAAGATAATCTCAAACAATCTGCACCTCTAAAGCAAGAAGCATTGACTGCCTTGTGAAGAGTCACCAGTCAGAGAAAAATCTCAGTGTGGCAACTAACTCTTGGTTTGGAAAAAAGATGATCAAAAACTTCAGTCTATAAGGAGCAGGGAGGGGTAGGAGAGAAATACTCAAAAAAGGGCTTTGCCCAGGATGGGATGGACAGTACCCCATCGTGAATTGCCCATGTGAGTGCGTGGATAACACAAATTTAGGCTTCTACACTTGTGAAAAGCTTCTGCTGGTCTTGACCATCTCTCCATGTCATATACCATTTGCTACAGCAAGTAGAACTGCTGAAGTTTTCTGTAGACACTGCTTTATCTGCCTTTTTTTTGTGTGTGTGTGCTGCAGATTTTAGCACAGTGATTTGGGACACTTGGGCATAATAATAGCAATATTTAACAATTTATTCAGATAAAACTAATATTAATTTATTTAATTAAAAAGAACTCTACCGACATTTTTCGAACTATTCTGCAATTAAAGTAGATAGCTGGCTTTGTGGAATAATTTTGTAGAAAAAACAAGGAAAAACTGGAGCTGTATATATTATTCTTAACTAGGATATTTCTATTAGTTGGACTTGCAGAATATGTTCTACAATACTAGATGTTTAAGTACAAAAGCTGGCGTCTTTATATATATGTACATACACAAACACACACTGTTTTGGGGGGTTTTTTGTTTGTTTGTTTGTTTTTTCTCCTGTTTGCTGCTAGTTGTCTGGAACAAAAGTCACATGGTAGGGGTTACAAATCTTTACCGGTTTGTTGTTTTGTTGTTTTGTTTTGGTTTGTTTTTTTCTTTGATTAATGAAAGAAACATTAATAAAATCCTGTTTGGAATGTGTCTAAAAATAAGAAAATCCAGACAAACGTCCATCTTTTGGAAAAATCAACCATAAGATAAGAGAGTATATTTTGTAAAAAACTATTTTTATATAAATATTTTATTTATACTACGTCTGCTTGTTCAACCTGTACTTTTTCTCAAAACAGGCATACAATTTGTAATTCCTAGGCTGTTTAACAGAGAAAGGGTAATTAGTTTGTGGACACAACAGCAGCAAGCTGGATACATTCAGCTGCAGTTGGTGGATGTGTCAGAAAGCAGAATGAACTTTCTCTCTGGATGTGTGTACAAACCGGCTCTTTTCCTGCAGCTCAATTTGCAGAATATGCAAAACAAGAACAGGGTATGTAGCATCAATTTTGTCACATGGCTTGAATTCAAGATTGGTATTAACTGGATGCTCATTTATCCCATTCAAGAAAAAAAAAAATCCGAATTAACTTCCCACATGCGTCAGTCATTAAACTGTGGCGTTATGACTAGCAAATGTGCTGTGTGTGCTGTCAGTTAAACCTCTATATTGTGTTACTGTCAAATTTGATTTTAATCAGTGGAAGACTGTAGACTATGACTGTAAAAACTAGCATGACACACATCGTCTGATTCTCATAGATAGGATACAAAGCTTACTTTTTGTTCAATCCTTTTTGGCATTTACATTATTCTTTCCCCCCAAAAGGCCAGAGCTCAAAACCCCAGAAAAACATCTAGGCAAATTTAAAGACTACTCACTTGTTTTTCAGAGCCCAGCTAAGCCATTTTTGTGTTTTTGTGTTCCCTTTATGGTATTTCCATGTTATCACTGCTAATTTCTTCAGATATTTGAGTGGTAGATATTTTTCTCTTTTAAGAATCATTCTGTTCCTTCTGCTTGACTCATTTGTGACCGATAAAAAAATAATCTAATTTTAATGTTTTTCATTGGGTAAGAAACATGGCATGGTGTTACCAATGATATTGTATGTTCTCTCTGGGACAGGCCAGATTGTCCCCTACTTCCAGACTACAGGATCTCATACCTCTGATGAGGCTAAGAGGGGCATCAGTAAAAGAGACAAACCACCATCCAGTTTGTGGTGCATTTCACTGACTCCTGTTAATAACAGCAAGTGTTACAAGGAGTAGATGGTATAGATATATCTTGTGTCCATTGAGCTTTCTGAGGCAAAACTCCCAAATAAGACTGCAAAAACAGAGAAAGTTTTCTGAGAAAGTAAACAGAAGCATCACAAAAGGTGTTGCAAAGTTTCACTATAACAACCTAGCCTTTTAGAACTTGTCTGAATGTGGCATGTTTTTTTTTTAATTCACTTCTTGTATATATGTTATTTATGTAAAACCACATACCCATGCAGTATGTGATCCTAGCAATGTGTTATTAGAGTTAAATATGCAATTTCTTTGCAGACCTCCCACTTAACAAAAAAGAGGATTTTTATGAAATTCAGACACCAGCATGGGATGTGAAAATAAAATTATTAACATAATTTAGTTTCAAACATATGATTTGTCAATATAAAAACATTTTTTGGGTTAATTGAGTCATTGCTTTTAGTTCTAAATTCCACACATCAAGAATTGATAAGACATAAAAGGCAGTAAAGTACATGCAGTATGGATGTTAATTACAGCACTATATTATGGTTAAATAATTCAGATCTAATGTTTAATATTGGAATATCCTTTCCTCCCCCATCACCCACACCCCCCGCCCCCCACTTTGTATTTTTTTTTTTTTACTTAGTGGATACCATGTCATAGTCAAAAATGTGTTTTCTTCACCGATTAGAGTTATTTTACAAATTATTACTTTTGCAGCATGTTTCTACCATAGAAAAATAATCTGTAAAATTCCTGCTTCCTGTATATTTCAGTATGCAGTGATGTGCAATGTACAGCTAGCAGATTAATTATTGAAGGACAATTATCTTTAAACAGTTTTACTCACAATAATAAAGAACTGGATGCACAATGAAATGAATATGGTACAGATTTTCCCTATATTTTACAACATTGCTTATGGTCAGTGCATTAATTAGAGAAAATGAAAACTTGATAATGGAATAACTGTTTGGGAACTATGAGTTAAAGAACAAGGAAAACCAAACACTGCATTCAACTAGAAGTACTTGGAAATTTGGCTGTGTCATCTTAGATAGGAGAAATCTGGCCCATCAGAATCTGCCATGAGTCTGGAGTTAATTGGTCATTCACTAAATGGGCTTGAATGGCACGAAGAATAAATAGAAGGAGAAAGATTTACGATTTTGTAGATATTCCTCCCTCCAACAACAGTTTGTTCTTTGTCCTCAGGGATAGAGGAGCTCTGTTTTTACTTGGTGAAGAACCACACAATGGGAGTGAAATGCACACAACTGCAGAACAATACAGCTCTCAAAAGAAAATACATCTTTTCATCTCTACTAACCAAGGGAAGCGCTGGATTGCTGTCCACATTAATAACCTAGCTGAGGCTTTTAAAGAAAACATACATTCAAGAAGCAGGAAGAGTAAGAGGAGTAGGAAGCGTAAGAGGACAAGCATAATTGCAAGTTGGGAAGCTATTATTTATGAAATCTCACTTCCTCAATTGATAGCGGAGCCCTGGTTCATGGAAATGAAGCAGTTCTGCCTTGGGACTCCTAAGCAAGTTTTAAGGATTTTACTTCTTGGCCTTTTTAAAAGGACAACTAACCTGAATACAAATAGCTTGAGTACTCGTAGTACCTACATAAAAAATGAGTCAGTCAATGATTAAGTTTTCTTTGACATGTATGCACAAACCTAATGGAGATATGTCTTTCAACAGTGATAATTAAACTGAAAACATCCTTAAAATGTACTCTTAAGTGGCTCATTTCATGAAGTTATTGTAAGGGTACATAGTTACTTAGAAAAGGAAAATAATGGACATGTACCATATTACACAAGGCTCTTAATGAACTATCCCATGGATTACAGAACTGTTTTAAACTGACCACACTTAAAAATCAATTTGTTGAACACAGAAACATTGCAGACTGTAGTCAGTGTGCACATGTTCAAATTAAGATTCAGTGTTTCTGACAACATTTTAAAATTCATCATTATCAGGAAATATGCACTGTGAACATCTAAATTGAGCGTATTAACTAACAGCCCCTTGCCCCCAACTTGTAACCCCAAGAAGTGGACTGAACAAGCAGCTCTCCAACTCTGCTGTTGGGAGGACTAAACTGCAAACTCAGTGACTGACATGCCTAGGCAGGGCTGGCCAAATCCAGCAGATAACTGTTGCTCTCAACCATCAGTGGTACAGTCTGGGTCAGGCTTGAATGTTCCAAAACTGTCCAAAATTGAACCAAGTATAGAAATTTTATCACACATTAGAACTTCAGATGATGAAGCTCATCTAGACTCCAAAACATTCTCCCTTAATTCATGGTTATCTGGGATAGTTGTCACCATGGCAAGTGACCTAATTTGCTAAGCCAATTCATGTTCTTTTGTTTAAAATCATATCAATGATATCAGACAGGCATTTTAATCTTGGACAAAAATTAAGGGAATCTTTCCTGTGGAAACAAACAATAACATATGATTAAGTAAAAATGATGAAGAGATGTAGTTGGATCTAAAGAATTCCACGTGTCTGAAGAAAGATACCAGAACTTTGTGATTCTCTTGTCCAGAGGTGATGCTGTAAATCCCTAAAGGCTTCTTTTGATGCTTTGGAGTTTTATGAAATTACTGATTTTTCTGTTTTGCTGTTGTAACATATCCACAGATTCATCAATAGGACATATCATGTAATTTGTAATTGTGAGGTTAGAAACAAGTCGTGGAGAAGTCTCACTTCTAAGTGTAGCACGGTATATTTACTACTGGTGCTCTCAGGTTCATATAATTCCTTACCTTGATCTTGTATTTTTGTTAGCAAAGTCACTGCATCATGCTCTTGTTGGGAAAGATGCTTACTTTGTAAAGAAGTTTGATATCTATGGGAGAATATGAGATTATATTTACCTTAGAGAAATGTTTTCAGGGTGCACAAAAAAAAACAAAGATGAGGTAAAGCAGATGGTATCAGAATTACACCACTTACCGATGATTATCAATACATAGCCAAACTCCCTTAGCACAGAAAAAACTAGTTTTTGTGTTTCCTATGCTAGCTTGCATCCTTTCCCTATACCCCCCAAATACATGTTGTATATATCATACCAGACCCACATTTGATTTTGTGGTTGCCCATACAAACAGTTCACTAGCAGTACATCAGAAACCCAATACTACCAGCATAGAAAAACCTGTGCACCTCTAGTTTATAAGAATGCACAGAAGTTTTTCTTGGGAACAATACATTATACACAGCTTTCTGTTACTGCAGTGCTTCACCTTCCCATTTTCACCAGCATGCCTGCCTGCAGTGTGTATATGTTTGTTATTTAACTTTCTCCAAGCACTCTGAGTTTTAGTTCTCTATAGAGTGTTTATAGGCTCTCCGATCCATTCCCATTCACTGATGGCTTGTGTGTCTTGATTTTTGGTCTGTATGTGGGGCTACAGTACAGCTGAGGAGGAGGACACTCAACGCAAAAAAAAACCATTCATCCTCTCACAGTGTACCTTTAATTTTTCAGATCAATACAAGAAATATGGAATTATTCCAGTCATCTAATTCACCATGTTTCCTAACTCACCTTTTCAATATTATTGAGAAAGTTGCAGTGGTGTTTTTTTAAAACAAAATTAAAGGGAGTGGACTGGAAGAGGTGTTCTCTAATCAGCTAAACTTGCATAAGATATTGTAGCAAAAACCTGTGAAGAGACAGTGCGGAGTTTTATTCCTCATCAGGCAGATTCATCAATTTAAATGGGACTTCACATGGACTGTACCATAGATAGTGCTTAGTATTATCCTTAATCACATTTGCTCATTGTTCACAATCCTTTTCCAGTTATTAATTTTTCTTATTCTCTCAATGTTATTGAGCTTGCTTCACTCACATGATGTCAGCAAACACTGCTTTAAGTATTAATATTTTACAAATTAGTTTGGCAGATTATGTCTTGGATCCTTTATGCCATTTATCCTGTTATCCTGAAACCCTTTTATTATTTACATAATAGGAGGCCATACATGCCATAACACACTTAGCATTTTTATGACAAAAAAGACCCAAAACTTATCTCTTGGCCCATAGAGCTTACAAAATAAATTAAATCAAAATCCACTAGGCAGGTTTCTGGTATTGTCCCGAGGGTTACATATTACTATCACATACTTTGACTCATTCTCAGCTGTGGAGCACAGCGAGTCTGCAAGTGATGTCAACAGTATCTTGAAGAAAAGTATTTTCTACCAAACTCTATCAGACTGCTTTTTAGTATGGTCAGAGAAGGCAGTTCTTTAGGCAAGAATTAGTCTAACTAGGAGACAGATAAGGAAACTTGAAAGATAAAGAAACTATTATGGCCTAATATGGAGCCCAGAAGCAGCTCAGAAATGCTTTGGAAAAGAGAAGAAAAAACACATAAGGGGGGAAATCCCTGAAAAACTCACTGCATGGAAGGCACGCTACTGAGTCTACCAGGGAACACAGAAAGAGCTTAGCTAAATGGAGAGATTTTATCCAAAGTTAAGCCTGCCTAGTTGTCACACAGATCATAGTGCAATTTCATTTGGCTCAAGCCATATCCAAACATCTATTCCATTGAATCAGCAAGAAACCTGTTTTGTGAGTTATTTCTCGCGCTTAATTTCTTTCCTAGAAATTTTTCTTTTGCATGTGGGCCCATGGAAATATGTACTATGGGTATCACATCTGTCCACATATAACTGATTTTGAAATTATTTACATTTGACCTGAACTGGTTTAAACTAGAGGATATTAAATAACTGTCACCTTGAGAAATAAGTTAACAAAGAAGGACAGAGATGATACAGTACAGGCAGTAGTGTTAGACCATAATGCCATCACACAGCACTGGAAGATGCATAATTTATCACACACACAAAAATGTTTTTTCATATATTCTAAAAACCATCAGGATAATTCCTTTTGGCCTTCTATAGTGCTGTGGTGTCAAGTTGTACAAATGTTCTGCACTGAGCCTGGCCTCAGTCAGCCACTATTATCCCCATCAACAGACAGGAAATCAGGAGACACAAAGCACAAGAGGGTTGGCCAGTGGGCACAAAGGAAGTCTGTGAAAGAATTAGGACTACAGCCCAGATTTCTCAGCTTTTACCATCCTGTTTTAGGGAACTTGAGCAATGACCGATTTGCCTCCTTTTATAAAATACATATTCAGATTTTAGTGTTTTGGAAATGTATTCACTGCATGTAGTAGATTCACTGCATTTTCTGTGTAGCTGAAGTGAGGAGACTCCTTCTTCTCAACCTCATTAAATGCTAAGCACACAGTAATTAATATAGTCTCCACATTAAGTATGAGTCATGCACCAGGGAAATTGTAGAAACCTGGTCTCATGTTTTGTCTTCTTAAGTCAAATGATTAATGAAGATGTGAGGCAAAGGAGGTAGCAGAGAGTAGGCTTTTTAAATCAGAAGATGTGGACAGCAGTTATGCAGAGGGAGCAAATAGCCTCTGACAAGTTGAAACTCAGTGCAAAGTCTGAGGGTCTCTGTAAAGCAGGGGCAAGTTGCTGTGATGCTTCATCACTGAAAGCATATTAAAAAGTTATCAAATATTCTAATGAAAAGTGTTTAATAGAACAATGCTAAACCGCATCGTATTTTCTGCCACCGAAAGAGGGGGATGTGAGGTGATTCACTTGGGTCAATGAGTTGTACCAACTCAGTACAAATTGTGAGAGTTAGAACAGAAGCTAAAACAAAAATAATAAATGGATTAAAGTCTTTCTGAGAAGTTAGAAAGACAATTTATCTGCTTCCGTCTCTCTTTTTATTACGTAGCTTGGGTACCAGACAGAATATTTTGACGCTTGCCCATCTTTAGTTGTAAGCCAC